GACTAAGGTCAGTGCTGATGTGGCCATGGAAAGCAGACACAAGTTGAAGATGCTTTCTGAATTCACCAATGCTGGAAGTCCGAATAAAATCGTCCAAACTATATTAAAAAGTAGATATGTTAAAAAAATTCATTAAATTACAAGCACATCAATATCAGTAGACTGACTTTGCCTAAGAACCGAGTATAGTGGAAACCATAACTGCACTGAAATTCAAAAATATTGTCAATTCCATCTTTTTACTTATATCTTTGTAAATCATAATTGTTTCTAATAAATTAAGATATTTTACATGGCCAACATTAGTATCAAATCCATCTTTGAAACAGTTTCTTGAAGGTTCTGGACCCTATTAAGTAAGAACTGCAAGGATGACAAAGCCTACAAAAGAACAAAAACAATTTATATGTGGAAAAGTCAACTTAACAACATTTGTAGGTTGATTAGTAGAAGCCAAAAGTCTAGCCCACATCCTATCTGTCAACTTAACAACATTTGTAGCCTCGGTAACACGTTGCAGTTATAATTGTAAATTATAAATATTAATTGGCAACAATAATAATATAATTAATGTAAATATGAGAGAGTAAGAGTGCTTAATTACCTATATTGGAATATATGCATGTCTACTATTGACAAGTCCAACTGTAAAACCAAAAAACCCTATCATGGCCCCATGAACTGCACTTTTAGCAAGAAGTGTACAGTGGATGTTATCATATGCATTGCTTGGAACAACCCATATCATGTATGTTGGATCTGCAAGGGTACAATCGTCATTTCATCTCATTCACCCACTTTACCCATTCATTCAGCCATTTATATATTCAAGTCTTTAAGTCTCTTTAATTCTCTGTTGAATGAACTCAAAAAGACCACCCTACCCTTCTAGATAGAATGGAGACTCTGGAATCAAGCAGCAATCCTGTTTTACAATTACAATAACACCTATAAATTATTATTAACATATCTATCTTATTCTTGCATTACAGATTAATAAAACTAATAATATTACAAATTTGTTATTTGGTTACCACATCTTGACTTGTCAACGTGGCAAACATGGCAATGAATCCTGAAAAAGGTCAAACAAGTTTGGAAGAATAAATTCTTTCCACTATATCAACCCATAAGTTTAACTATTCCAACTCCATTTTCAACACTTTCCACTTCCACATGTGCAACATTTATTGCTCTTTGAGCTTCCTCTACATCAGTATAAAACCCAAAAGATTTGTCGATTACCTGAAAACAATTAGGTATTATTATTATTATTAATGAAAAAACTGTATGACCTTAGCAAGAGGGGTGTTCAAAGGTATAGAAAAGATCATATCAATCACATCCATAATTTTCTGAAGAGCAGGATGATCATCCCATTCGCTTAGAAGGTGAAAAATCCGATTTTGAAGATTCATAAATTGATCCACCATTTTGGCCAACATGGAAGCATTTGAATCCTATATTGTGACACCCCCATTTTCACGGCCAGAAAAGACCGATTTTGTTTATGCTTTATGAAAACCAGAGTACCTCTTTTCAAAAAAATGTTGTGGAATTTATTCCCAGAAAAACACGATAAATACTTTATCAAAGCATTTCCAAAGAAACGTATTTTATTCATTTTAAAACATTTGGGATGTCATCGTCAATATAGAAACATAAGCATAAGCAGAACTTACATTCATTTACACTAGTGATCTATATCTCCTTAATCTCTTAGTATAATGTCACTTCATATCGACACCTGTGATATAAATAAACTGAGTGGGTCAGGTTGGGAAACCTGGTGAGTACATAGGGTTTTCAACCCACCATAATATAATTATTATGTTTAAACAATCAAACAATCAAACCAATTACCCATCCCCATTATCTTCTTTACTCTTAAGGGTCTACCCTAAGAATCAGCTACTCCTTGTTAATTCATTCCTAAGGATCATCCTAAAGAATCGGCACGAAATCCATCGTTGTCAGGGTTTACTCAACGGACACTAAATCTATAGCTGCCAGGGTTTGCTTAACATGCACTAAATCCATAGCTGCCAGGGCTATTTCATTTATCGATAGTATCCACTCGCAATACATGTTAATGGGTTTTTAGAGTACATCGGTGAAAACATCGTTCACAACACCTACAGGTTGCGAGCCTGCTAGTGTTCCACTGGACTATCTAGAATAGTCTGTGGTTGTCATCCATACTCATCTGAATGACAGGGCAATCATTTGGGAAAAAGGCTTCTCACATCGTCCACCTCTCACCCTCAACTCACGGTGTATTTCACCTCTCAACTCATCATCCAACTCATACTCCATCTATTACATCTACCCATGTTTTACCCCAACATTATCGTAGATATAAAATACATATACAGTTTAAATCATTTAAAACATGTATAAAATCGTTCATTCAGCATAGATAGCAATTATACATATAATATTCACACAAAGCACATAGTTTATATAAAATACTTCATATCCATATGTAAGATGAAAGTAACTATGAACTCACCTGATAAGGTGATGAATTGGTACTCAGACAACACTTCGTTACTGTTAAAACAATTTCCCTCAGACAAAACCTAGTATCATTACCACTAGAGTTTAGTCTAACGTTAACCGTGACTAATTAATAGTCTAGATATTATTACTATTATATAAGCGTTAAGAAACAGTCTTATATAACTAATAATAATATCCCAAATACACATTTTACTATATTAAAACATAAGCTATACAAAAGATAGGGTAGGCATAGCTCACTTACAGCAGGTTTTTCGCAAAATCGGGCTTCGCTGGAGCAGCGATTCCGAGCCAAAAGGCTCCTCCTCTCGGAGCTTCCTGGTGCTTCGGGACTTGCTTCTAACACCTTGGAGGTTCTATGGAAAAACATTGAAGGTTTGGGGGTATTTGGGAGGAAATAAGTGGAGAGTTGGGAAGAAAATGGGAGATTTTCGCCTCTATTTATAGGCTGCCAGCGCCGAGTACGCCGAGAGTACTAAAAAGTTACGCTAAACGTAATGGTTACGCTGATCTTACTCAAAGTTACGCTGGGGATAATGTGCCATGTGTCACCATCTGGTGGCTAGCCTTGGGGAGGAAGCAACGGCGGTGATCGCGCCACGTCACCCAAACTCGCACAGCACCCTCCCGACTTAGAAAAATCATAACTTTCGCATAAGAGCTCCGTTTTTGATGTTCTTTATATCCACCTGAAGGCGGGAACATACTCTACAACTTTCATTAAGACTCCGTCGGCTAATTTTGATTTTATTTTAAATTTTATATTTTTAACAGGCCGGGACAGGATTGGTCCATTAAAAATTCATAACTTCTTCATCCGATGGTCGTTTTCATCTGTCTTTTTATCGTTACGCTACAAATAACGAGATATTCAATTCTCGTTTAGGTTGTGTCGGCTAAAAACCGCTCGATTTAATAATCGAATTTCGAGTCGTGCACTGCTAAGCCAAATCTTAGAAAATTCATAACTTCCTCATACGAAATCAGATTTGGGCATTCTTTTTATGGACGCTCTCGGTTTAACGTATTCTATGACTTTAGTTTATATTACTAAGGCTAAATCTCTCTCTATCATAAATTCACTATTTACGCTTCCTGGTGTCGTGTCGGGTCCGTCGCGAAACTTCGATGCGTCATAACTTCTTCGTTATAACTTGGATTTTGGTGGTCTTTATATGTACGGAAACCTTGTAACACATACTAAAACTTGGTTAAGATTATTTATTCTAAATAATATTTTGCCAAAAAGTCATTTTCGACACTTATTGCCTCTAAATTGACTAGCCCGGATCTACGGGCGTTACATATATCAACAAGAGAAGTTAACAACTAAAAAGTAAAAGATATAATCTAATAAACAAAAAATAAAATAGAACACAAGACCTTGTAGAAATTGAAAGAATTGTTTGGTATATGAGATGACACTGATTTCCGATCATGCTCCAAGGAAAGCGTAGTACATGTTCTGGAATAAGCTTGGAGTCCAAATTCAAACATAATAAGCCCTACATATATGAAAATAGTAATAATAATATGAGATTTGTAATTGTGTATCTTAATAAGGAAACCCTATAATCTGAAAAAAACAAACACCTTTAATTACTCTTGTACCCTTGGCACACAAGTCTGAGAAATAAACTAGCCTATCAAAATCAACTACTTGAACAAATCCAGCCTGAATAAAAGCAACAAAAATTAGAACTAGATGAAGAAAATGAAGAATGTATAGAAGAGAACTCATAAGAAAAAGTCAAATAAGTCAACTGGCAGGTTGAAGGAGACTCCAGCAGTAGACTCCAATCTTTATCTAACATTTCATCCTCTTCATTAGTATTTTTCTACAATAAGCAACTTCTTCCATTAGTACAATAGAATTAACAAATGTTAGCAAGAGGAATGCTTACCTTTTCACTTTCAGCAGATATTCCTCTGAAGCCAACTCCTTCCACTCTAAGAAAGCTTCATTAGCAACCGAGCTTTCAAGGGTAGATACATCCATTTCAATGACATTTTTAATGTCAAAAGCACGAGGTCTAAATATGTAGTGTTTTGAATCAAGCTATTCTTTGGTTCTAACTTGAATCTTCATTTTCATCCAGAATCTTTCGCCTCTTCACCATCATTTATGATTTTCTCTTCTGCTTATATCGACATCTCTTTCGTCATCATCACACCATGAGTAGTCCTAAAAAACCAAAAAAAAAAATACAAAATTAGCAGACTAAGAAAAAATAACCTCAGCAAATGTTGTACCTGGGATTCAAAAACACAAACCCAATGTTTCATTCTTTAATCTTGTGTTATGTTGTGTTGGTGGTATAATGGGGCTTTATTGGTGGCGGTGATGAACCAGAGAGAAGACGAAGGGTGGTGGGTGCCTGGGTGTTTGTTGAGCAGTAGGGGTAGAGAGAGAGGGGGAGATAGAGATAGAGATAGCAGAGAGAAAGAGACTTATAGTTGGTTGTGTATTACCTGCATCAAATCCAAATTGAGGGAATGTTGATTTCATAAGATGAATTTGAAATCGCAATATGTATATGGATGTCCACAAATTTGTTGCTAAAACCTAGCACAATTGTTTCAGCAACTTCGACTTCCTCGCAGTCGCTGCCCTCAGCGCCGTCGGCACTTTCAGGAATCAACACATCTTTAACCCCGAAACCATCAGATTCACGCTTCCTAGGTTAAGAGAAACATGTAATTGAAGGAAATCTATGAGTAACTCGACGACTATTTTTGAGAAGTGTCGAGATAAAGATAAAAGTAGGGTTTGTAAACCAAAACATACCTTAATCGTAGCTAGGGCTTGTAACACTGAGCACTTGTGCAGTCTTCGCTGAGGTGAGGTGAGCCCCAGGTCGCCGGTAAATAGAGATGAGACGAGGTCGCTGGTGGAAAGAGATGAGTTGAGGTCGCCGGTGGAAAGAGACGAGTTGAGGTCGCCGACAGTAGGTGAGGTGAGGTAGCGAATGTTATAGAGAGCACTCCTTGAAAAAGCCCTAGATAATGGTCCCCACAATTTTGTGATAAGTGAAATAGTCTGAACAAGCACGCTCATTTTAAAAATTATAAAGCGACATGCTAACAGGACATACTATTTTTAAAAGGTGCCCTCCGTGTTTTTTTCTTCGTTTTGACACTAATTTTAGGGCACGCAAAAATACGTGACCTAAATTCTTCAAATTTTAGAGGATATGACATTATTTTTAGGACTTACGTATCATAAATCACTACGTGTCATGGTTTGCGCATCATAAAAGGTTGTTTTTCTAGTAGTGAATACAAATTTTACAATACAGATGGTGAATCTAGGCACATACATTAAAAAGGATTACATACAAATACAATTATAGTATACAATTTTCTAGTACAGTGGAACTTACAGTTCTGATAGGACCTTTCTTGTTCTCTCTATGATTTCTGAGTGTATACGTTAGGGTTATCTAAAATGAAAAACCGATAGGCAGTCGAATGTGTGATTTCCGCTTTACTTCCTGTTCCTTGTTTGGTTGTGGACTTAGGGCAGAACCATTCATTCGACTGTCCGTTCGATCTCATTATATATAACTTGTATACACTAAGTGATCATAGAAGGAACCGGTAAGGGTTACACTACCTACTCGAATTTCATATTTAGTATTAGAAGTTTTAAGCATAAGAAAAATTGTACATTTTTGGTCTTAAGGTCTAAGACTACATTTCATTTACAAAAGAAAATTTCTGGAAGAACACACTTAGGTGTTGTTTGTTTTTTGAAGCCAAAATATCTGCAGTCTGCGAACCACATTTGCAAGCTTCTACGGAAGAAGAGGTGGACCAAATGTCTGCAGTATGCAATAAGAAGACTGTTTGTTTTTAACGTCTGCAGCTGTTGAAATAAACTAATTTTTCAATCTTAATTTCACGTCATAAACATTAAAAATGCATTTTTAGCAAAAACAGAAAGAAAAAAAAACTGGTATCCTATTTTTTTGTAGATTAAAATGAGGTCTAAAGACCATTGAAGATAGTGGCTCATGTCTGCGCCAGAAAGATCTCGCGCAGACGTTTTTTGATTTGCGCACTTCCAAAAAAAACACCCTGGGAGGGCATATGTCTGCGCGATGCAGACAAAAGTGGTTGCGCAGATATTCAAAATAAACAAACAACCCCTTACATTTTCAAGGAACAATTGACAAAATTTTCATACAGACATGCTTATGAACTCACCAACTTAATTGTTGACACTTTTCAAAATCACTTGTATTCTCAGGAAACCAGTAGAAATGTATTCAACCCTTCTTGAGGGCCGACGTCATCATTTCATGTTTTCTACTTTTCAATTATTTGTATTTAAATTTTGAACAAACAAAGTGTTGTAAACAATGTAAAATTGAATCCTCAATGCATGAATGTTTGTGTTGCTATGTTTCAATTATATTCAATTATTATGATAGTGTATATGACATCACTCCATCCACCCCCAGACGTTTCCGCCGTTTTGGTTTAGGGGTGTGACAGATTGGTATCGGAGCATTGTTTATAGTGAACTAGTACATCAAACCATAGAAGATATACAACTATAAATACAATGGGACTAAAACACTCTGACTAAGAGTTATACTTTTAAATATAATAATATTTTATAGAAGTATACATACATATATATATATATATATATATATATATATATATATACATATATATATATATATATATATATATATATATATAATATATATATATATATATATACTAGAACAGTGTCATAATAAGAACAAAACAAAAGTATTAAGATAAGTTGGACACTACGATTAAACCTTGGTGTATGTAATCAAGTCTGGGATGAATATAGCCTGATGAACTATATTTATCCGAGAGGTGACTAACGTATGCCTGTGAATAGTTGTGGTGAGCAACAAGTCTAAAACTTACCAACTCTATATACCAAGAAACTCTAGAACCGAACATAAATTTTAAAATAATATAGGAGTATTTTATGATACTATAAACAAATCATGTGAAAACTAAAGACCCTTACTGGCAGGTCTATAATTACTTAGTGTATATGTTAAGGTTATATATAATTAAGATTTTATAGACTTAGAATTTGTGATCTCGCTCTACTTCATGTTCCTTGTTTGGTTGTGGTCTTAGAGTAGGATCACTTATTCGAAGGTGTATTCGATCTTAGTTATATACAACTTGTATACACTACGTGATTATAGGAGGGCCCAGTAAGGATCACACCATAAAGAATTTTCATTAGAAATTCTTCTATTAATCTCATAGATTGTTTATATACCACTATTCTCGCACAAACGACATATCTAGACATCGCAACCCCACTACAATAGCCAATAGATGAATCGAGGAAGAACCAGAGGGAGTTTATGAGGAGGATTCCGAGAAGGGATCAAATGAAGAGAAAGGAGCTAGAGAGGTCGTTAATGTAACCTTACCTTATCAAGAACAAGCATAAGACCCTTTCACCCTATCTTGCCAAGATACATCCCCATAATATACCTACACCCACTACACCATACTCTAGACCCTAGCACCCACAAATCAAGTGCCATCGCTAATTGTACCATGCGAGGCCCGCTTAGACATTCGGTTTCAGGCTCTCCATCACGAAGTAATGGAGATGAGAGGCAAAGCCTAGAACATGACGATGCAAATCCAACACACTCACGAAGAACAAAAAACACCATATGGATGCCATGCCTACAAGTAGATCAGGAAAGCATTATGGACCACCTACACTCTTTAGAGGAAAAGATAGTCATCATGAGACAACAAATCCTTGCAGCTAAAACTAGGAAAATCATAGCAGAACAAAGAGCAGAGGAGACCATTCGCATGACATGCAAGACGACAAGACACCTTATGTGTCACTTTAATAACTAATAAACTAATATAACCTAGTGGATTAGTGATTACATTACTCACACTATATGTTAGGCTTATCGCACCTTATGTCACAACTAATAATGGTAAATCAAATCATAGAACTTCATTGAGGCATTACAATCAAAATTCATAAGTTTATTGTTACATAAAATTCTATTATAAATTGGTTACAAAATACTTTTAATTCGGAACATGATGCGTGTAGAAACTAATATAGTTAGTTCAATAACACCCGACTTATAGCCATTACTGAAGACTTACCATGTTTTCATCTTTAAATTTTATGGTAGAAAAATGCCGCCACGTAAATCAAACACGCGTTTCAACAACACCCCACCAACTCCACCACCACCACCTCCACAGTATGACCCTGCTGTTTTCCAAGCAGCAGTAACAGCCATTGTGGAAGCTACCGTGTCACAAATCAATGCAAGTAGTGCTAGTGGGGCGGGTAGTGGTGCTAACAATTCTAACCATGGGGAAAGTCACGGACACCCAAGGGAGTGTTCCTATAAAAACTTCATGAATGCCAAACCCAAATCCTTTGATGGCACCGGAGGTGTCATTGCTCTAACACGCTGGTTCGAGAACATAGAACCAGTGTTTGAAATATATGCGTGTCCCGAAGCAAATAAAGTCAAATTTGCGGCCTACACTTTCATGGATCCCTCTCCTGGTGGAATGGCTATGTCAAATCATTGACCCTCCCAGTAGCCAATGCCATGAGTTGGGAAGACTTAAAGGTCCTAATGCTAGCCAAATATTGCTCGAGGGGTGACGTGCAAAAGCTAAAGCAATAACTCTAGGGTCTGATGATGAAGGACTCTGACATTTCAGCTTACACTACCAGATTTAGTGACGTGGATATTCTATGCCCCAGGATGGTCACACTGGAAAGTAAGAAAGTGGAAAGGTACATTTGGGGGCTATCTCCTCAGATCCAAGGAAACGTGATAACTGCAAACCCACCTACTTTTGACAGTGCCAAATGTCTGGCACAAACACTCGTGGATCATGGTGTTCGCCAAGGCTTCATAACAGTCATTCCCGAGAAACCCTTGGAAGGTAACAACAAAAAGAAGTTTTTGAACAAAAGGATGGGCAAATCTTCACAAGAGTCCTCAAAAAAGCAACAAACCGTGGCAGTCCATGCTGCTACTATTCTTGCTATCGTTCCTACTACTCCAGCACCCCCTAATCGATATGCTGGAAACCTCCCAAAGTTAAATAAGTGTAATTTCCAACACACAGGAGTTTTTCAGGAAATGCACTACAAAAACTACAACATCAAAGGTCACACCGCCCGTTTCTGTAGGGCACCAACACAACCAATCACCCAAATCCCCAGTATTGGAGTAAGCTCGGCTTGTTACGAGTGTGGTGAAACTGGACACTTCATGAGAGATTGTCCAAGAGCAAGAATGATGGTGGTGATGGAAGGGTACTTATGCTCATTACATGAGAGACTCTCCCAAAACAACCTGCGAATATTGGGATGTTTCCTAACAATAATGTTTAGGCCTTAAATTTTTACTAAAACTAGTGCCAATTAAAGTTTATCAACCATAGATCTCGAAACGCGACAAATCATAGTCAAAAAAATTTCCCTCACCCGAATAAATCACATCATTCATATAAAAACTAAGGACTCTTACAGGTGATCTATGGTGGCTGGTGTAAACATTAGGGTCATATATAATTAAGATTCTACAGACTTAGAATGTGTGATTCTGCCTTACTTCTTGTTCCTATTTTTTGTGGACTTAGGACAGAGTCACTCATTCGACTGTCTTTTCAATCTTAATTATATACGACTAGTTTACACCAAACGATTACAGAGGGACCTAGTAGGGATCATACTACAAAATATCATTACTATTTATCGAAGCACTCGTACTGCTGGTACTCACTAATCACGGTACTAAATATTTGCAGTAGTAATAACAAGGATAAATCTGGGAGCATTAAATACATATACATAAAATACACTATCGTTCTAAACAATCAACCTCCTTCCAAATCGACTTAACACCTATTACAATAGGTGGTTCCGACATCGTCATCTGATATGGGTTGGCTTGGTCCTCACCATAACAATTTCATGTGCTAAGAAAAACCATTTGCCTTAACCGACCAACTAACAAAACTCTTTCAATCTATAACGAC